TATGTCAAGTTTTTGGTTTTCTATAAATCCTAGCCATATTAGGTCTTCTACAAGGATATATTCATGTGAATTTAAGCTCTGGTGTGGTTTATCTGTCAAGGCCGTTTTCTTCTCTTTTAAGAGAATGGAACCAATCCATAATATGTAATAGGTTGTGAGCAGCACGGACCTGAACTTGTCTACATAGCTTAGTACTGTCCAGTAGCTAAGAAGGCAGGTTCGATCATACCATTCTAACTCAGCAGGACCTATTTATATCTTTCCCTTGTAGAACTGGAAAGCAGAACTATAAAAAATTTCTCTTTCTGCATTCTTCTTCTACTACAGACTTCTGTAACTTTCTCCTGTGGAAACTACTCTTCCTTCTTCATATTTATTCAAGCTTATACCTGTCCCATAGCGATAACTCATTAGTCAAAGTACAGTTGCATTCAAGGGTATATTCTAACCCCATCAGTCTGTATTACTACTGTGTTTCTTATTCTTTTGCAAGTACCAGTTCAGAGGAGACTTTTGAGGTTTTTTTCTCTGTTTGTGTTCTAGTGTGCCAGGACAGCCGTACTTGGAGGAGCCCTATCAAAATATTTGCTTCAACGCTTTCTTGACCATTTTACAGTCTTCAAAATCATCTGATATGGATGATATAATATTTTGTATGGTAGGTAGGACTATCGCTTATCTTCTGATTGTTGTAGATGTGTCTTGAAGCAGGAGTACACCAGAAGTTTATTACCAAAGGGTTTAATTTTGCTGCTATGTTAGTTTTGTTTAAAGATATTTACATATATGTAGAATGTTTATAAGCCAGGAATACTGAATTTTTAGGTTTAAATGACAAGAAACTGGTTTTTTTTGTTTTGTTTTTCTTTGGGATTGTTTTACTATTCTAGGTTTTAAAAGAAAACTATTCTTTTTCCTCTTGAGTATAAAAGCAATGCGATTTCCAGCTAGTAACTGACTTTAAGATGCACAGGAAGAAAGCAGATTTCAACAATATCTGTAGCTTTATTTATTTTTTTTAAAAAATCTGGCATGTGTATGACAATTTATTAACATGTTTTAAATTCAGAGTGACGGATTTCAAACATTGTAGATGCAAGGTAGTGAAATTGCCTCAGTCCCCTGCTCAGATACAACCACTTGTGACAATTCTTTGCATGGGTCCTCAGATTTTTTCCATATACAAATGGGCATATTTATCATTTTTAAGTGGAATCATATTTAATATGCTTTTCTATAACTTTCTAGATTTTTAAATCTTAATGTCTCTTGGGGATCTTTTTAATATCTGTTAGTATACCTCATATTTTTTAACTGTTGTACCTGAGAGACCTTGTGCAAGTTATTTAACTTTTTGGAGCCTCCATGTTCCTCTTGGAAATGGATATAACTGCATTGTATTGGTAGTTTCACAGTTAGCAGAGGGTTTCTTATGTCGTCACTGTATTAATTATTATAATTGATGAAAATTGACTTTTTTTTCATTTTTCCACCATTTCAAACAAGGCTACAGTTCACATTCTCCCCTGTGGGAAAATGACAGGGACTTATAAATGAGATTACTCAGCTAAGAAATCAATCTTGATCAGAATTGCCCACTAGAAATTATGTTTCTGTCATGTTCCCACAGCAATGGCTTTGCTGTATTAAAGCTTTCCCACTTCTGATCTCTGCTGCCACTTCATTCCTTCTCACGTTCTTCCCACACTCTCTGTCTCCCTCCCCCTGCTCCCTGCTCACCATTTGCACATACTGGTTTATAAGGAAGTACAATAAGGCCATTCAATAAGGATACTCTTTTCTTTAGAAAAATAATTCAGTGGTTTATCAGGTCTATTCTCTGGATCTTTGTTCCTGGTTTGTCTCACAATCATGTTTCTAAAGTGTTTTTCATCATCTAGAGATTTTTTGCTCTTCTATCCTAAGTAGTGCCAAAAATTGGATTTCTTAATAACCAAATTTTATTCTGCCTTCTAACTTTAGATTCTTTTTCCCACTAGTTGTTACAGAATGCAATAAAGGGCATACAATCACTTCTCAATGGTGGGAAGATGAAACTGACACAGACTGATGAACTTGGAGCTCTTCTAGCTGTTCTAAAGGTGAGGCAAGTTTCCTGCCTGATCAGTAATTCTCCTGTTTAAATTCCAGACATGAAACCAATTTACATAATTGCTCTGAGGCTAACTTTAATGTAAAAGTTCATATATATATATGTGTGTATATATATATATGTGTATATAT